ATAATAATAATGTTAATAATATAAAATTATTAATATATTATAATAATATAATATAATATAATATAATATAATATAATATAATATAATATAATATAATATAATATAATATAATATAATATAATATAATATAATATAATATAATATAATATAATATAATATAATATAATATAATATAATATAATATAATATAATATAATATAATATAATATAATATAATATAATATAATATAATATAATATAATATAATATAATATAATATATTTATAATTATAATTATAATTATGATTTACAATGTAATTATAATTATAATCATCATTATTATTAATATGATTGTTGTTCTTGTTGTTATTGTTGTAATTATTATTACTTCGGAGTAATTATATATTTAAATTAGTAATTATAGACATTATTATGACTATAGAAATAAATATTATAATTATAATTACAATAATAATAATTATAAAATTAATCATAATTAAAAATATAATTACATTTATAATTGTATCTGTATTTATAATTAGTGTAATTGGTATAATTATTATAATTTTAAATTTAATTTTAATTATTATTTTTTTATAATTATGATTATAATTGTAATTTTATTTAAGTTATATTTTTAATTACAATTATAAATCTAATAATTATAATTGTAATTACAATTACAATTATAGAAATATTCAAATCAGATCATAAAGATTCAGATCAGAAGAATTCAGATCAGATCAGAAACATTCAGATCAGATCAGAAACATTCAGATCAGATCAGATCAGCAACATTCAGATCAGATCAGAAAGATTCAGATCAGATCAGAAAGATTCAGATCAGATCAGATCAGATCAGAAAGATTCAGATCAGATCAGATCAGAAAAATTCAGATCAGATCAGATCAGAACTTAAAAAATTCAGATCAGAAACATTCAGATCAGGTGAACGGAACAGCTTCTAAGTCCCTAACTTAAAATTCTTCCCATTTCAAAAGTAGGTAGATTAAGAATAGTGAAAGAGGATATGAATTATTGAGAGTATGATGGGAAGATAATGGAATAATGTGATGGAATGTAGGATAAGTCCAAAAAAATAGTTGTAATAGTGTATTATTTTTAGAATTATATTGGGGGTCGAATGGGTAGAATTAGAAATGGGAAGAATTTTTTATTACAATAGAAAAGGAAAGTGAGAAGATTTTTTTGTTACGGGGAGTACATACTACTCCTTGTTATAAAACATGGTCGGGCCACATAAAATTTAATAAATGTCTACTTTATATCCAAACTTTTAATAATAAAGTCGGATGTCCCTTCCATTCCGATGTATCAAAAAAAAAAGTCGGATGTCCCAACGTAAGACAAAATACTTTTTAGAAAAAGAAATTATTTGTATTTGCGCCAGCTAATGAGATTATGAAGTTATACGGCGTATGATAAAGCTAATTGGTATACATTGTACAATTGATACGTAAAACAATTGAGAATATTGGGGCCAACATTTTAGCCTTTGAAACGTTATAAGTCGGTTATCGGTTGAGCTCCATTCAGGGCCGACTTGAGGATAGTAGAGGCCCTAGACAAAAAACACTAAGTATTGAGCCTATCAAAATCTATTTTAAGTACCAATTCATAGATCATTCAAACGATTTTATAATCAAACCACTACATATGTAAAGAGTATTTAATATTCTCTCTTGCATGTACAAGCATAAATTTTCTTGTATTAGTCGTAACAAGACCTATATATTTTTTAATAAATTCATAAATAAAACAATAACGAAAAGGATGAAATTAAAAAAATTACAAGCAAAATAAATGGCTTTTTTAAGATCAAATTAAGTAAAACACCTACTTATAATTTTACAAATTAAACTGTTTGAGTATGTACTATTTTTTAAAATAGAGACAATTTTTAAAATAGAGTACTACTTAACACATTGTTACAAACTTTGAAGTGAGGATATTTTCTTTTGGACAGAAATTTGCTAGTCTGGTCTGGTTTGATTTGGTCTGAACTGGTGTTGTTTGATCTGGTAAATGTCTAGTCTCTATGTATTTTATAACTAAGAAAGTCTGATCTGGTCTGGTCCAATGTGTTCTGGTCTGGGCTGGGACTAAAACCAATCCAAAAGAAACACTCTAACAACAAGAAATTAAAAGCCATCATGCCCATAAACAATAATAACAGCAAGGCAAGGCAGCAACTTATAAGATACTAAGTACGCAGTATAATGGATGATGGATCTGTCCTATTTCCATTTTTACTTTTCGGAATTGGGATACCAGACTATCACCGTTCTTTGCATCCAACGAATTTACCAATTGGAAGTACCCAATATGCTTCGTGATTAATTCTTCATATATATATGTGTGTGTGGGGGGGGGGGGCTCATATATACTCTATCACATATATTTACACCAATATTAATGTTTAGGAAAAACTGTCAATTTAGTCCTCGTACTATCGCGAAAAAGTCAATTATGTCCTTGTAATTTTAAAACAACCAATCAAATCCTCGAACTTTATAAAAACATTCATTTAAGTCCATTTACAGGTTACTTGTCATGTCAGCAAGTCACCCGCTGACGTGGCGCACATGTGGCGATCCACATGTGCGCCGCATCATCAACAAATTGCTGACTGGACTTCGACATGAGTGTCACGTCATCAAAGTCACTGCTGAGTGGGCTGCCACATGTGTACCACGTCAGTGAGTCACCTGCTGACATGACAAGTAACTTGCAAATGGACTAAATTGAACGGTTTTATAAAATTTGAGGATTTGATTGATTAATTTAAAAGTACGAGGACCTAATTGACTTTTTCGTGATAATACGAGGACCAAATTGACAATTTTTCCTAATATTTATATGTGGGATACGGTAGAGGTAAAATGAGCTAAAGTATTTTCTTTGTAAGATATAGAAGTCTTTGTTTATGTAAGGTATATATGTGCTCCAATCATTTAACCTCCAGTTTTAATTAGAGAGATAAATTCAACTTTATGGACATGTGTTTATGCATGCATGTATGTGTGCAATGTCATTAATTCATGCTAGATGTGCACCCCAAAACAACTAATCAATTAATCTTCTCAATAGTATGTTCTTTTCATTGTTTGCTTGTCACTCGTTTACTACTCCCTCCATTCTCTATTAAGTGTCCTATTAGGATTTAGGGAGTGTTTGCAATTGCTTCAACTTTAAAAAAGTGATTTTTTTAAGTGATTTGGGGAAAAGTGATTAATAGTAAAAGTTGGTAGTGTTTGAGGAAAAAGTGATTCTGAAAAAGTAAAAGTTGGTAGTGTTTGGTAAAATAAGTACTTTTTGTGTAATAGAAAAAGTGAAAAGCAGTTTAAAGCACCCTTCCACCTGCTTCCAGCTTTTAGCTTTTAAGTGATTAATTTAAGCAGAAGCTGTCATTTGAAAACACTCTTTTTTACTTTTTTTAAGCCAAAAGCTGAGAAGTGCTTTTTTTAATCAATTGCAAACACTCCTTTAACCCTAGGTTTTAAGAGAAAAATAATAGGGGTAATGTAAAAATGTAGTGGTTTTGAAAAGGTAGGAAAGAGAAATGAGTAAGGGTAAAAAAAGTTGAGGTATAAAAGTATTTTGATTGAAAAGACTTACCAATAAAGGAAAGAGAGAAAAATAATTAAAAATGTATCAAAAAGGAATATGTAACAGTTAATAGAGAACAACTGGAGTATTTATCAGAGTGATACTATATATTTACGTGTTAGCCATTTAATGATAAAACACAATGATTATTAATTGTGACACTGGTAACTTTTAGTGACTATAATTGTATTCAAATATTACACTATAGTGATTATAAAACTTACACATAATAAGATGTAGTTATATATTTGTCCATATATTTTTTTATTGGTAATGTTTTAGGAAAGACCTCTAAAATATAATTAATCTCCTTATTTTATCATTTTATCTTTTATCTTCTCTATCTTTCTTATTTATTTAACTCTTTCATCCTTTGTATTTTACATATATTATATGATCATATTTTTTACATATGTTCTCTCTATCATTTTTATCTTATCTTACCTTTTTCTATTTTTCTTATCTTTCCTATCCTTTTTTTCCTTTCACCTCTGATATCATGTATCAACAATTGATGTTAGCCAATTCAACAATCTTTTAAGATTAAGACTTTGGTGTTGTTGTTGTTATTCTAATATTATTAGTTATTTAAAATATACATAAGTAAAACTAATTCCACTAAAAATATTATTGAGCCAAAAAATCTCAGTTCAATTAGGGAAAATTTGCGATTTTCATCCAGTAAATTTTGGTCCTTTTCATTATTAGTTATGATTTTTAGTCACTTGCAAATGTTGTCCTATAACTAATACTCCTTCCGTCCCTGAAACAAGTTCACCCTTTCCTTTTTGGGTAATCCCTGAATTAAGTTCTCCTTTCCTTATTTCGCAAATTATCTATATCAAAAACAGTATCAAAAAACAGTGTCAAACAGTAAAATTTACCCCCCAGTAAATTTCTTTCCTTAATATGTGTGAAAAGCAATGGTGAACTTCTTTCGGTGACGGAGGGAGTATATATTAGCGATATAAGGACTTTTGCCCTGAAAAGTACATATTCCGGCGATAGTATAATACTCCGTAGTATATATACCGAAAAAGATGTCGTTGGCATTGGATTTTTCTGCCGGAAAGTGTACTTTCTGGTGAAAAAGTCATTAAATTGCAAAGATTTATTAGCTACATGACCAAATTTGTAAGTGATTAAAGTTACATGAGCAATAACGATATCTACCCGGAAAAATGGGTTGATGAATGATGATCACATAATAATAAAGCCAAATGTCTCATTGATGCCAAAAAAGAGCCTCACTCTTGCAGTCTTGTGTAGCTGGCAACAGCTTTAACTTAGCACATTTACCACCTCCCCTTCTTCTATCAAAATCACATACCAATCCCACCCTACCCATACATAGACAGTCACAAGCATATTGCCCTATTCTTTAATCATTATATCTTTCCACGTCCACTGCCTAGAATCCTAGATAGCCTCCTTCCTAGCTATATATGTACATCACCACTTTCATTTTATTCACACACATTATCATATACTACTGCTTATATATAGTATGTAATATATTGATCACTTCAAATAAATCAAAAGCCTCTCTCCCTCTACTTATACTATTTCTCACCAACCATGTATAGTGTTAAGGGGATCATTTCTTCTTCTTATTCTTCTTCCAACATTATTGGGTACCCAAAGATGTTGCTGGAGATGGGTGTGGTGATGATGATGGTGATGAGCTCTTGCATGTTTTGTGTTAAGGCTGGGAATTTCAACGAAGACTTTGACTTGACTTGGGGGGGAAACCGGGCCAAGAGGTTTGAAAAGGGCCAGCTTCTGACCTTGTCCCTGGACAGAGTTTCTGGGTCGGGCTTTCAGTCCAAGAAGGAGTATCTTTTTGGGCGGATTGACATGCAGCTCAAGCTTGTTGCCGGCAACTCTGCTGGCACCGTCACTGCCTACTATGTATATATATATCTTTCTTTCGATTAATCATATACACATTCTTTCATCTATATTTCAAAGAAAAATCTCATAAATAAAAACAGAACGAGACACATTTTCATAGGAAGCAATGACATCAATGAGATAATGGACAAAATGTACTCCGTAACTTTTATACAAAGTGACTATATTACGGAGTAGTAATTTTTGATGAACTGATTATGTTTAATTTTTTATAGTAGTGGACATGTATTATTTTTATAGTACCTCTAGTAACATTTTTTCTAATAAAAAACTCATTTAGATTATGATATTCTTATTAGGTCACATACTCACTTACATAACTCGTGCTTTACTCTAATTATAGCAACAACACAAAATTAAACTATTCCCGCTCATCAGCAGCATGTCCTGATGGATTTCTTGCTAACTGAAACTTAATTATTTTTATCTTTTTTATATATAAAATAATGAGCAGTTATCTTCAGAAGGAACAACACATGATGAAATAGACTTTGAATTCCTGGGAAATGTGACTGGTCAACCTTACATTCTCCACACAAACATCTACGCTCAAGGGAAAGGTGGGAGGGAGCAACAATTCTACCTCTGGTTTGATCCAACCAAGAACTTCCACACCTACACTCTCATCTGGAGGCCCCAAGACATCATGTAATATACCCTTACCTACCAATTCAAGCTATGTTGTCCCTATAACGCGTTTCAGGCGCTTAGGCGAACCATGACTAATGTATACACATTTTTTTCATTAAATGCATGTTGTAGCTTCATGGTGGATAACACTCCGATAAGAGTGTTCAAGAATGCAGAATCAATGGGAGTGCCGTTTCCGAAGAACCAGCCGATGAAGATTTACTCGAGCCTGTGGAACGCTGACGATTGGGCCACGAGAGGGGGGCTAGTGAAGACAGACTGGTCCCACGCACCCTTCACGGCGTCCTACCGAAACTTCAATGCCCAAGCATTTACTAGAGCAGCAGCAGAAGAGGCTTCTCAGTTCTCTGATGGAAAATGGCAAAACCAAGAACTTGATGCCTATAGCAGGAGAAGGCTAAGATGGGTTCAAAGGAACTTCATGATCTACAATTACTGCACTGACTACCGACGTTTCCCACAGGGCTTCCCTCCAGAGTGCTAGCTGCCTAGCTAGATTGTTTAATAAAGTTCATATGTAGTTCCAATTAAGCGTAACCATGTTGGCTGGATGTGTTTGAATACTCATTAAATTTTGCTTCTGTTTCCAGCTAGTTCCATTATATTTAATTCCTTGATAAATCATTAAATATTGCTTTACACGTCAAGGAAAATTCAAGAATTTTTCTGGATACAAAACGTTAAGAAAAGCTGGTAACATATGGGTCTTTAAATTTCAGAGTAAATGCTAATTGCACCAGTAACTTTAGTCTACCAAACAGGTAATACTCAACAAACAAATGAGTAGAGCAAAAGGGGTACTAGCTGGAGTTATTGAGATGACGGGTGGCCTGGTACAGAGCAGCAGCAGCATTGTTTAAAAACTAAAAGAACCTATAGGATAGTAAATGTAATGTGGGGAAGGATTATTGGTTCCAGCTGCTGCTTTGCATAACTTCTGCGAACTTGTTCATATTTCGAATTAGCAGGATGTGGTGGCCTGTGCGAAAGATCGAGCGGCTTGGCTGTACCGATAATGATTTGTTGAAGCCGGACACAGTTTTCCGAAATGAACTTCACTACATCCAAATCACTGCCATGGCCGTGATAGCCTAAATACTTTAACACCTTAAGGTGTTGGTGTGGAAATGGTGTCCCCTCATTCACTTCTCTCCTACCCAATGCCAAACCCGAGAACAATGTAACCTGCACATGAAAAAAATAACGAGCAGTGACTTGATCTATCTGAATGTTTCTCGTACACACGATGAAATAGAAAGACAACATGCAAGCAACAAAATTCCAGAATCTTTTAAATAAGGTAAACCTAGGCAGTAGGCACATATCCAAAACAATAGCACAAGGGAAGATAACTTGTACAAAAGCCAAATGATAGGAGGCAAGTAGTCAGGCCCACCCACCTTTAACACAAGTTCTTCTAGGTTGGGAGATATCCTAATGAATGTCATTAGTCCAATAAGTGTTTCATCATATGTTGTGCGAAGAATTACAACCAGCTTCTTCAAACCATGCATCTCAGGAAATTTGAACCACACAATAGCACATGCCTGCAAGAGACATCATAACCAACTGTCAAGAACAAATTATACGAAGTATTATGTTTTATAGCAGCAGCCGTAATGATTATGTGTCACCCACCTTATAAGTCTGCAGCCGCAGGGTAAGAATCTTCAATTGGGAAAAGCAGCAAAATAGTGCAGGAGCTAACAATGGAATTTTTTCTCTCCGACAGAGAATATCTAAATCCACAAGCATTGGAACACTCTCAAGCATTAGAACACTCTCAAACACGAGTTCATTTTTTTCCATAACTGCAAGCGAAGTGAGGTTTGGTGCGGATACCTTAATGGATACCAAATCAGAGCAATACATTACATACAATCTTTTTAACACGAGAGATGCACCACAAACTTCAAGATTTGATAATTGATTTACGTCTTCAAGAACTAATTGCTCCAGTAACGAGCAGTTGCACAAGAAAAACTTAATACCTTCATCACTGATCGAAACATAGGTCAAACACAGTTCTTTCAGGGAATTGAAGTTGAAAAGTGTAGTACTATGGTGAGGGATATCACTGCTGTTTCGGAACAAGATGTCTTCCGGGAAGACATACTTGTTCTCTAATTGGTCATAGTCAATCTTATAAGGCTGAAGTTGCAACTCTAACTTCTCAACTCGTCTCTCAAAAGCAAACTCAAGCCACTTTGTAATGGTCCCATACCATGCTTTTCTTATACCAAAGCAGATCTTGAAGTGTTCCAAGGTGAGTGCCTGTTTACTTGGCAAAGATTTGAGGACTGAGTTCACCCATCTTACGTACTCGCGCCCCTCCTCACTGTCTAACTTGTAATCTCGTGCAATCTTGACCAGTGCACTGCTGGCATCAAAATTGAGGCGCGAGGTTTGTTGCCACAAGTTCTTCCAACGAGATGAAAGAACACTTGTGCGCCCAGCTTCTTTCAGCGGAAGGGAAGACAATATGACAACAAGAATGTGATTCGGCAGGCAACTTATGCCATCACAATTGTCGAATCTCTCAGCAGCATACTGTAAACCAAACATAACAAATGCATAACAGCATTTCGGACTGTGTTAGGGTACTCAGACTCAAGCCATATGTAACTTCGGCCAAACTACATTAAAAAAATTGAAGCCAATAGATTAGGCAGTTCAGTATTTGTGACACAACCAAATTAACTGTATGCCTTACCGGCTCACCCTACCATTTTATCTCTAATTCGCTAAAGGAGCCTCCATTTCCCCTTCAAAATAAGAGCCTCAAATTTTAAAAGAATTTGCAAAGTTTGAACTACCATATTAGCAAAGCAAAGAAAGAATAAATGAAAGCCTAAATTTGCAGCAGCGGCCAAAAAAGAGTATTTTAGTTTTAAGGAAAACAAGGCAGCAGCTTTTTCCAGAGAGCTTACCTTCTGTAGTTGAAACTTCGAATCATGAGTGACACGCTGCACACCCATCAAAGCTTGAATCTTTGAACTCCAACGCAATATCCACACAGAAATTAATTCACTGCCAGAAGTTGAAGTCGATAAATTAAAAGACAGAGAAGAAAAACTTACTGCTCTTTGAAGCAAATCGTAAAACCACCTGCTCTAATCTTTACCGCTTTGTTTTCAAGGGAAAGAGCAGCACCGTTTTCTGGAGCTTGCCTTCTTCGGTCGGATCCAAGGGAATCAATAAATATGAATGATCTCTACTCTAATCCGTATGGAGGAACTATACATTATGTTCGGAAATGATTCTGCTCACTTTCTAAAAGTAAAAGTACATGATCCTTCTTTTTAAGTTGATAATTTTCAACTTGTTTAAAACTATTTTTAGTATCAATGTGCAGAGCTATGTAGCACGGATTGGGAGATGCCAAAAGCAGAAACGTGAAAGAGTATATGGATACGACAAGTAATTTATGGTGTTAACTGTTAAGTACCATATAAATGTAACTTTATATAAAATGTTATATTATAAAATGTTATATTAGTACCATGATCATATATAAAATGTTATATTAGTGCTATAATCATAGGAAAAATTGAAAATAATAATCTCAACTATTGCCGGTCCGCTGAAAATAATCCCCACTATTGATTATTTTTGTATAATCCCAACTATATAGACTATCCGCCAATAATGGTCCATGACCATATATTACCTCTATAAAAAGAGAATTCTAAATAGAAATTTAGTGTAAAAATTAAAAATTGAGATTATTTATAGGGATTAGAGATGGCAATTTCGGCCGACCCGTTGGATACCCGCACCGAACCGATTTGGTCAAACCGGGGAAAACCGTTTGACTGGGGAATGGGTACGGGGCGGGAAATACCCGAATTTTTTAAATGGTTAATGGTGCGGTTATGGTTTTATACTAATCCGCCCCGTTATCCGCCCCGAAACCGCCCCGTTCACTAATGGTGCGGGTACCCGCACCGTTACCCGATCCGTAACATTATTAAAGAATTATTACTTTTTATATATAAGAATAATAAGTATATATGCTAAATTGTGTATACTAAATAGAACAATATATATCATATAAATAATGTTAAAAAGTATACTACGCCACTACGGAGTACTTTTTTAGGCCTAAAACTAAATATATGCCTAAACCTGTTTTTGGAATTTGGATTCTAGGATGATTACTACTTTTTTATTACTCGTATGTTACAAGAGATATTAGGTGCATGTCATACTAATGAATTTAAGCCAAACTGCTTGATTGCTTAAATATTTACCTTTGTATGTTTTAGGGTGCTTTGAATATATAAATAACAAGTAGGATTAGAAATTGGTTATTTCTAAAAAATGATTACTTGGTATCATTTGGGGAAACGGTTACCCGTGGATAAACCGATTCCCCGTTGGGGCGGGTACAGTTCAAATAAAAATTACCCGAAGGGGTAATGAGGCGGTTTTGGGGCAAACATTTATCCAACGGGGCGGTTTCGGTTTTATGTGTACCCGTCCCCTATTCGCCCCGTTGTCATCACTAATAGGGATTACTTGTTATATCTCATCTCATCCACTTTAGAAACTACAAGAATTTATTCATAGGGACCATTATTGGCGGAAGGTCCCTAAAGTTGGGATTATTCTGTAATAATCAATAGTTGGGATTATTATGAGCGGACCGCTAATAGTTGGGATTATTACTATCAATTTTTCCATAATCATATACTCCAAACTTCATATATTAACTTAAGATACACAAAACATGGCTAAAGGATCAAATAGGCCCTTGAACTGACTTAAAGTGTTCGATTAGTCCCTTATATAGGAGGTTCTTCCCGGTCGTCGCCAATTGGGGCGATTCCCGATGGAATTTTTTGATGAAATTTTTTGATCATCTTCTTCATTAAGTATAGTTTACCCATACCAAATTTGAGCTAAAAATTCAACCGGGAAGGCAGTCAAATGATTTTCCGAAATGTACTGCGCTGTTTAACTTCGCAGTTATCTTCAAAAAATCATTTGACTGCCTTTCCGGTTGATATATTAGCTGAAATTTGGTATGAGTAAACTAGACTTAATGAAGAAGATGCCCAAAAATTTTCATAAAAAATTTCCACCGGGAACCGCCCCAATTGGCGACGGCCGGGCAGAACCTCCTATATAAGGGTCTAATTGAACACTTTAAGTCAGTTCAAGGGTCTATTTGACCCTTTAGCCCACAAAACATTTATCCTTTGAATTTAAGTTAGTATTCATGAAAAAGGCCTTTATAATTATGAAAAAATGTAGGGGCGTTTATAAATATTAAAAATTACAAGTACTATGCACACTGTCACAACGAACAAAATAAAATGTATAATTGTTAAGTATTTGTCCCGGAATGTAATAAAATAATACTAAAAATACTTTATAAGACTTTGATCTAATCTTCTTACCAGGTTGTCATTTTAGAATGAGAACTTTGATCTTAAAATGGTATCAGAGTCAAATCCAATTGTGATTTGGCCGTTTATTTAACACTCGTGATTAAAACTTTTTAAGGATCTATTTGTCCCACTTGTTCACCCGAATATTGTTCAACTGAAGGGGCGTGCTAAAAAACATTGTATAAGACTCTGAGTTACTCCTCCTATTAGAATGCAACTTCGGTTCTTAACAATCGAAAAGCCATATGTAACTTCGGCCAAATCATTAACTAAAAATTGAAGCCAAAGGTTAGATAGTTCCATAAATCCGACACACCCAAATAGAATCGATACCACATCCTACCGCAAATTTTATCCTACACTCGGGTGTACAGCTATACCCGGTAATTTTGTAATTCCGTCAAACTTTGAGGCTTCTTCTCACATTCCATATCTGTTGCACGCCGATCCCTTCACCATTGACATCGCCGCATGACATTCTCCGGTTGTAATCGCTTCGAGCTTCACCATCACCATCATCGCGACGAGAAGAGTTTTTCCATTGATACAGTTTTTCAATTGATTCGTTCGAGCCTCCAGCCCGTCAAGATTCAGTCCTCTCTGGTCCGTCATCATTCCTCCATCTTCGGTGCTGCAGAGATTCTAGATGACAACGTTAATGCTCTGTATTAACTACATTCCGGTGAGATTGACCGGGCAGATCAATTCAACCCTTGCGGCATCGCTCTCACATACCAAATGAGTATAACGCTTAAACGAAATGAGTATAAACAAATGAGGATTTGAGCACAGTAACGATTTCAAATGACTTTTTGAGTTTTTCGATACTCACTTTCTAAGTTATGTGTGTTTATTTGGTACTCACATTATGCTCATTTTAAAATGTCATATAAGTTCATAATTAAAAGTATCATATTACATTAGATTCACTGATTAGAATTCATATGAGTTAATTATAGATATAATTTAAGCAAATTTTACCAAGGAACAAAAAACCAATAACAATAAAATGAATCAGAAGTTATGAAGCAGATCACGATGCTCAATAACACTCAACATAATAGGTCGGATGCTCATAAAAAGTTTATTAATGCTCATTTAACAGAAACCGTGATTTTCGTCGCAATAGAGGAAGTTTGATGCTCAATGAAAATGTCGTGGTGTTAAACTAACAAATCTTACGATTTTCAAATTAAGGAGCATTTTGTAAGGTACGTATGCTCATTTAGTACTGATGATATATTGATATGTTCATTTTTAAAATGTCATATCAATGCATATTTCAAAAGTATCATATTACATTAAATTTGCTAATTGAAATTCATAGGAGTGGTTGTAGATATAATTTAATACTACCTCCGTCCCGTTAGAAGGTTCCCATAGTAAAATGGCACGGTTATTTAGGTGATAATTAAATAAAGTAATTCGGGTATATTTTGAGAAATACTTTTAATATGTATATATTATAATGTGTTAGTATTGATAACTGTGATGTTAAGAATGTATTATTTTTAATATTTAATGACTAATTTGTCACTTAAGATTGTTAATTGTTTCCTAAAATGGAAATGGGAACCTTCTAATGGGACGTCCAAAAAAGGAAAGTGGGAACCTTCTAACGGGACGGAGGGAGTAAGTTTTTATAATGATATGAAGCAGAGATCGTGATATTCACTGTTAGACTCTGATGGACTGTGTACCCGGGGGTAGCTTATCCGGGAGGTTATTATGAGAATAACCTAGAGAGAAGTCAGAGCAAACAAGTAAGGGAGAGAGAGGCGATTATATTAATGAACTCGAGATGTTCTGGTCCTTTACAATGGAAAAAGGGGGTGTTATTTATAGTAGCAATAAATGCGATGAGAGTACACGTGGCGATAATCTAGCGGCCGAGGGGTCACCTCAATCGGGTGGCACTGGCATTCGCATGTGCACCGCATTGAATACGGTGGGTGGATGTGACGCCACATTAAATGCGGTGGTTGCTTGTCTCCAAATGGAATCTTTGATGATTGCGCTGTAAGCCGAGGGCTTCCCCGAAGCCGGGGGCTCTCTGCAGCCGAAGGCTTGGTACAGCCGAATGCTACTTTGATGCCGAAGGCTCCCAATTTCTATCATTTTCTCCCAGTAGCTTCGTATGCTCAAATCTGGCAGCCCGGTGAGATTTGAAGCCTTCGGCCAAGGAGGCCGAAGGCACCTACACGGGCGTAGTGGGCTTCTTGACACTTGGGCCGTTGTGTTTTGGGCCGTGCGTGCTCCTTGAGCTCATTGGGCCTGTGTAGGTGAAGTAGGAGTCTGCGGGCCGGGGGTTCCTGAGCCATATACTCCATCAGACTCATAATACTCAATAGAATATGTCAGATACACACTAAACGTACAATAGTGCTCATTTAGCGGAATCCGTGATTTTTCACTTAAATTACAAAAATGTCGCCGGTAAAAAATTGGCCCTTTCGCATGTTTTCCACCTCAAACGTTGGATCTTTTGGTAATTAGTTAATGGATTGTCTTTGTTAGTTAGGCTGAATTTACGCATACTCAGATGTAGGATATAGGAACTGACATCCGACCAGCATATCTCCCCCCAAGGCGCCTCAATATCTTTTCCCAAAAAAGGGAGCCTCGAATTCTAAAAGGATTGGTATTAGTTACTCCGTAATAGTTAGTTTGGGGTTCACAAGGGTATGTTTGCAACAGTTTCTCCTTTTAAAAAAGTGCTTTTTTAATGAAATAGAGAGAAGTGATCAAATAAAAGTTGATAGTGTTTGTGAAAAAAGTGATTTTGAAAAGTAAAAGTGGGTAGTGTTTGATAAATTAAGTGTTTTTTGTGTAATAGAAAAAGTAAAAGCACTTTTAACGCGGAAGTCGAGAAAAATAAAAGTTGTAGTGTTTGGGAAAATAAATGTTTTTTTAAGCCAAAAGCTGAGAAATGTTTTTTTAAAAGCTGTTGCAAACCAACCCTCATTGAATAGACCGGTGTGAATAACCATTATTATTTATTAACATAGCAAATGAAGG